ATTAATCCCATATTTAGGAGTTGTGGTGTGAAATTAATTAAAATAATAGAAACCACTACAGTACTTCACCATCTTCTCCACATCACCCAAATAAAATTAGAATTATAAGCATTTTTAAGGGATTCCCTGAGATTGTTTTTTAAAGCTAAAAGAAAAGAATGTCCCAATTTTAAACCATCACTCTAGAGAAGAAAGGAATGTTCATTTCTTCATACACCACTTTTTGTCATTTGAATTTCTCCCCAAGAACAGCTATTTCATTTGCTCTGCCGTTAACATAATTCTATGCTGCATTATTTCTTCTGGCCTTGGTTAAAACCACGGTGGCATGTTAGATTAAGCAGGTGATCTTGATTATGTGATTTAGGATTAAATATTCAACTGGAAATTAATGTAAATCCCTTTGTTAATTAAGTAAGGGAAATATGCTAAATTCTGAGATGACTGGCAACTGGTTGTGTAAACATCTGCAAAAATCAATGAATGGCCATCACAGAATTTGTGCTATGTAAGTCAGTTAATGATGCCTTATCAATTGTGATTCTAAATGAAGCACAGGAGTGTGTCACAGAATTTTAGTATATTTAATCTTTAAAATCCTAATAAAATGTACGGGGCATGGGTTCCACAATGAGACACGCTATCTAAGCATTATGGTAGGTAGGTAAATTGGTCTCTTCTGCTAAACAAAATCATTAAGACTTTAACTTAAGTTTTATGTACAGTCTTGTGATCATCCAAATTAGCTAGAAAGGGTTTCATTTCCTGATTTGTTACAGCTACTGAATATTTTTCCCCTGAGAGGACATGAATTGGTTTCATAAATCTGGATGATGCGGTAGGATCAAAGATGAAAGATAGTTATCTATTCAAGGTGAAAGATACAACTCTGGACATGTTCCATTCTTATTTTATCTATGTATTTTCATGTCCTATCTCTTACTGGAACAACTAATAAATTATAATCTGTTATAACTGCTGATAAGTAGCGGAGCAAGGAGGAAATGATGGAGAAAGAAGAGGAGATGAGGATTCAGTGAGAAAAGGAATCACAAGTATGCCAGGGATGGGTTCCGGCAGAGATTCCTGCTGGTTCGCTCAGGGATGCACTGTGCACGCATGCGCAGTACAACTAAAATTGCTCTGTGCATGCTCAGAAGCAAAAAACAAGATGGCAGCCACTGGGAGAACTAGTTTCGGGGGGGTGGCAGTCCTGGGTCGCTGCCAGTTCCAGTGGTAGGAACCCACCACTGAAGTCTGCCCACTGTTGGGTGACCAACACTATATTATTTTACAATTCATTCAGTTTTCCTGAATTTATTTTTGGTGTTTTGTACAGGAGTTCAAAATGGCATGCATTCCATTTCATCCTCCACTTTTCCCCTACATCAAAAACCCTGTGATGTATTTCCATGCAGGATGTAGAGAATTTGGCAGTCATTATAGCCTAGTATTTCCTACCGGAGCTCACTAATTTGGCTTAATTATTCTCCATTGTGGAATTATTATTCCACATGGAATTATTTCCTGTGGGAAAAAAATACAGATATTTTGAACAAAGAGGTCCAGTATAGGTCTAAAGCACTGACTTTGGAATTATTCTATCAAAAATTGGAAGGGTTACAGATGTTTGTTTTCTCAGGTTTGCTTATGGGAAAATTTAGACCCTACATGCATGCTGGATAGACATATATGCACACTCTTCCCTTTCTAATTTCCACCTCATACATTTCCTGTTCATATGTTGCCTTCTGTTCTTTAAACCTCATGGGACTCTCATTTTTGGAGGATTTTATCAATTGTATCACACCCTGTTTTCCAAATAAATTACAATTACCTTGGTCCTCTGCATATTATTTTTCAGATCTGTCGTTCCCCCCCCCCCCCCCCTCCCCCTTCCTTTTTTTTTTTCATATTTTGGTCCCCCCCCCCCCCCCAATTGAACTGTACTTATTTTACAATTTGCTGCAAGTCATTCTGGCCATGAAAAGAATATTGTCTGCATGCAAAAGTAGATGCAAATTCCTATCTCCACCCAACACCCTTGTAACAGCACAATAATAATTCATTAAGTGTTTAGCCATAGAAAGATGTTACTTCCCTCTCCTATCGGCAGACCTATTTCAAATTCCACTTCAGGCTTCACTTTGCCTTCCAAAGAAGTTCCTTCTTTCATTTTATGATTTAATTACCTTATCCCTCCCCCTCCCCCACCCACCATTTACCTTCCGTCCTTGTTTCCTCTGTTCTGCTGTTTACATATTCTGGACATTCAGATTCTGAGAAGCCAAGTACCATAATTTCCTTGCTTCTTCTGGCAAACCTCCATCACAAATTGTACAACTTTCTTCAATCTCCCAGCTTTACTGCAATACTCTGGGATGTTTAAATTACTGCACTGAAATATAGATATTCCTTGATTTACAACCATTATTTAACAAGTGTTTGAAGTTACAACAGCCATTTTTGACACTTACAACCGATGCAGCAACAATGATCATGTGATCAAAATTTAGATGCGTGACTGGGCTCACATGATCTCTCTTGTGATTTTTCTGAAAAGCGAAGTCAATGGGAAAGCCAGATTCACTTACAAACCATATTACTAACTTAAGAACTTCAGTGAGTCACTTAACAATTGTGGCAAGAAAGGTCGTAAGATGGTATAAAATTCACTTAACAACTGTTTTGTTTAGTAACAGAGATTTTTGGCTCATTTGTGTAAGTCAAGGACTAGCAATAGCAATAGCGCTTAGATTTAAATACCACTTCACAGGGTTCTGCAGACATTTCCAAGTGGTTTTCAGAGTCAGCATATTGCTCCCAAATATCTGGGCCCCCATTTTACTGACTTTGGAAGGATGAAAGGCTGAGTCAACCTTGAGCCGGTGAGACTTAAACTGTGGGCAGCTGGCAGTCAAGAGAAGTAGTCTCCAGTACTGCATTCTAACCACTGCGCCCCCATGGCCACCACAACTACTTGTACTGCAGAATATGAAAGAGAGAACATGGCAGCATCAATGTTTTAGGTATAGGAAGATGAAGGGAGAAGGCTAGAGGTGCAATAGAGAAGGGGTTGAATATTGAAGTCAGTCAATAGGGTGAATATAGAGTAAAACCCATGGCGTCATCTATGATGGCTACTTCATTTTGGAAACAATACAAAGTGCTAACATTTATAACATAATAAAAAGGAGACTGAAATAAAATAATTTTTAATTCTTTTCTAACTTAATTCAAGCCACTTGATAAGGGGCTGGTATAGGTGAAACTGCATACATGGAACCGTAATGCAGGAAAGGCAAGATATTCCTAATTTATGTAGAAGTAGCTGTGTTAGAAGAAATAATTAGGTCAGACAGACAGCAGCATTTGGCTCTTCATGAAAGCAATCTGATTTCTTTTTCCAGGTGTCCACCGAGTATGAAAAAAAGGAAATGTTGCTGATTTATAAGCTTTATTGAGCTTAGAAAGCTTTTATAACCTTCGTTCCTTAAAGTAGTTGCATTTATTTTTCCGGCTTGCAGCAAGATAGTGTGCTTTAATGAGCAGCAAAGCTGCACTGGACTTTCATGAGGCCCAGTGCACTTTTTCGGAATGGTTTTTGGAATAAGCACCTATAAGTGCATGCTTGAAGAATCACGCTGTTCCTTTGAAAACGGTTTCGAATTTCTAGTAACCCAAAATGCCACAAATAGACTATTCCCTGAGGTTACATTTAGGTCTCATTTGCTGCCTTGGTACCCAGTTCTTTCCTGGGCACCCTTCATAGGCCTTGAAATGACAGATTTTGCCAGGGGGGGTTTGCAGGATTAGCCAGGATTGGGTATTGTGATGTCCAATTGGCCTCGAGACAGAGTTAATTTGAAGCCACGCCTCTGGGCTCCTTGCTTCTGGTTCCCAGTTTCAACTCTGTCTGGCNTTTTTGACTCGTGCAGTATACAGGTTCTCAATGGAAGTTATAGACATTGTTTTTTGTGCAGTTCGAATTATCCATTGAAGTCTGTATCTGTCTAGTTATAGAGGTACAGATGACAGACTCAATAATTCCTCTGTAGAACAGAATCAGCAGCCCAACCAGTGCATTCTACCAGTGAAACATATTGTTTAGTGAATTCAAAGACAGAAGCTGTCTGCAGGCCAAATTACTTTGGTTTTTTTAAAAAAACCTTTGAGAGGCTATTAAGGAGAGGTTAAAAAAGAGAAAATGAAGAGAAGCCATAGTGTTGTATTGGTGAAGTGAAAGAGGAGAAGCAAAAGATAAATAATAATCTAAACTTTTAAAACATATACAGTATACCTAAAAATAACCAGTGCATGCAGAAAGAACTTGCTAGAAATAATTAGCTTCATTACTCAATTTGAAAATCTCCTCAGTAATTTGCAAACCATACTGGAGACACAGGGATTTTCAGATCATTCTGAAGCAGTTGAATTTTTCAATCCCTCAATATTTTCATTTGTGGTATTGAGAGACCTCTAGTGGTGGCATGGGGAAAATATTTGGATTTTTTAAAAAAACAAAACAAAAATGTAGTGTGCTCCTTTTAAAGTTATAATGTACAATATCTAAGTAGATTATTTAGTAACACTTTAAGAGAACATTATTATGCTACATGTGTCAATTGTAAATTTACCTGAAGAGGGGATTTTCTGTTGTGACTTTTTGAAGAATTTTCTTTCCAAAGTATAGGTATGTAGGTGTATTAGAAAGATTAAGAATAACATTCTTTCAGATTCCTGTGGGTTCGATCCCTGTCTCTAACTTCGTTTATGACTTAAAAGCTTTTAATCATATGTATGTTATTGTTTATATAAAAACTGAAATTTTGTGACTGTGCTTCAGGCCGTCTCATTACTTACACGTGTTATATTTGTTGTTTTTTGGGTAGGCCTATACAGTATGTGCGTCAGTTGATATTAGCATGAAGAAATAAAATCTCCCCTCCCTTTAAAAAATTTCCACCATGTTGCTTAATTATCCCTTTCCTTTCTTGCAGGTACAGGAGAAAGTGGGAAAAGTACATTTATCAAGCAGATGAAGATAATTCATGGATCAGGCTTTTCAGAAGAAGAGAGGAAAAGCTACACAAAACTGGTTTATCATAACATATATTCTGCTATCCAAGCTATGGTGAGCGCTATGGATGCTTTACAAATACCATACTCATCTGAACAAAGCAAGGTATATTATTGCCCATAAAATGAAATCTTCTGCTGTTTATTATATAAATCAGATTAAGTAAAAATGTTCTGGTATAAATCCATTCAGTCATTCTGGGTAAGAAATGATTATTTCATGTGCAGGTATAGAGTAGCTGGAAATATGTAGTGATTCTATGGATTCTAACCAAGAATTTCAACCTTATGTAACACATGCATTATTTCACAGTGTGATGGGTTTATGTGCATATGCAAAGGAGGCTGCATTAAGGTCACCAGATCTGGATTGCAAAAATCTGGACCATCATTTGAAGATAGCAGCTTATTGCTGTAGGTGACACAGTCAGCCAGATTCTTAGACTAGATTGCTAAGCATGTTATCCCCTTATTGAGTCCTTCCCAAGGATGTGGAGTAGGCAGCTGTTTTGATGGTGTCCTCACAGGGTGTAAGCTGTTCCAAGCAAATATATATTTTATATTCATTGCACACAAGAATTTATTTTGCCACAGTGGTTCTATTTCTAGCTACAGGTCTGTGTATATTGTGATTTTCTCCCATTTTTTTTCTCTTCTAATCTGTTGTTTTTGGGTATTGCAGTGTCTACTCTCCAGACCTTTGTCTTTCTTATCAACAATGGTTAAGTCTGGGGTGTTATGTGGCAGGTGCTTGTCTATTTTAATTCTAAAGTCCTAGAGTACTTTAGCATCTTCATTTTCTATTACATTGTCTGTTTTGTGGTCCCACTAGTTTTGGCTTGCAAGCACATATCTTGCAGATATTCCAATGCATCATTTTTTGCCATGCTGTTGTTTATAGTCAGTCTGTGCAAACTTCTTGCAACAGCTAGCTAGGTGGTCCGTCATTTCTTCAGCTTCTTTGCAGAGGCGGCATTTGCTGTCTGTTACTGCCTTCTCAATTTTGATGTTGTCTGTAATTGTTATTAAGGTTTGGTCTTGCGCAGGCAGAATTAGTCTCTTTGTCTCTTTCTTCCAGTTTCCTGCTTTTAGCTATTGCCAGGTTTTATTATTATCTGATTTGCCTGGTAGTTTTGTATATACTAGCCATGTAAGGCTTTTGATCTCTCCAATACTGAGTAAGCATTCATAATGTAGTCGCTTAATTCCATCTTCGTCCCTGTACTTCAGATATTCTTCCAATGTCCTTGTTTATTCTTCAATTCTCTAGTGTGCATAAAACAGTCCATGTCCACTTGTTTTCCTTGGTAAGTAGAGTCTATCATTGTATGGATAAAGGGTATGATTTATAGTCATCATGTTTCTAGGTCTTTCTAGCCAGACCGTTTTAATTTTGCTTGAGCTTAATCCACTATTCCACCTGTATACCTAATGACTGGAATTGCCAGGGTTTTAATTGCCATGATATTATTTCTGCCACTGTGTTTGGACTTTAAGATCTCCTTCATTCCGATGGTTCATTTTAGACTTCTTCTTGACTTCAGTGTGCTTCTTGTTGTCAACCTAAAGGATATCCAGGTATGTGTAACCATTGTCTTCATCCAGACACTTGATATTATTTCCATAAGGTATCTTGATTCCTTCAGTTTTACTCTATTGATCTTTTGTCCCTCTGCTGTTTGACTAGTTTCCTTTGTGCCCAAGTGGAGCACAAAGCTTCTTTCCAAGTAGATGTTGTAGGGCTGCATCAGCTGTCACACCAGTTAGCAATTTGAAAGTTGTTAGTAAGCAGGTAATTGCAGTGGTGAAATACATTTTTTTTCCTACTGGTTCTGTGGGCGTGGCTTGGTGGACATGACAGGGAAAGGATACTGCAAAATCCTGATTCCCACCCCACTCCTGGGGAAAGAATATTGCAAAATCTCCATTCCCACCCCACTCTGGGGCCAGCCAGAGTGGTATTTGCCGGTTCTCTGAACAACTCAAAATTTCTGCTACCGGTTCTCCAGAACCTGCCAGAACCTGCTGAATTTCACCCCTGCATAATCGGTCTGTAGTTAGCTGGTGCCGTCCTTTTGTTGGATCTTTCATTATCAGGTAGGTTTTGCCAGATGTTGACCAGTCTTTAATTCCACTTCCTTGGACTATGTTGTTAAACTGCTTGGGAACCACTTGGTCAGGTAGCAATGGGAAAATTTCTTGGAAAAGAAATTCAGATACCTTGACAATAGCAAGGTGAATTGATTTGATTATAGGAGCAATGGATGCACCATTGGGAGACTTGAAGTGGCAGCCTGGGGACAGATGGTTCTGAAGAATTTCTATGTGGCCATTAACACTTGTCACCAATTTGATAGTCAATCAGTTGGATATCATTTCACCAGGATTATCTCTCAATAATTTCTTCTTAAAGTATTCAAAGCTCATGTTTGTTTTATAGTGATAGTATCTAGTCATACAGTCTTCTGCTGGGTTTTTTTACCACTTTGATTTTGCATCAAACAGGTTCCTCCAATGATTTTTGTCTTCTCATTATGTGTCCCAAATATTTAAGCTTCAAATGCATCATTAGCATTTCCACTGAACTGTCTGGTTTGATTCAATGTTTGTCTTTCTCTCTGTCCACATCCAAGGCACTTTCTACATTTTTTCCCCACAATTCAAAGGCATTTGTTTTTATTTCCTCAACTTTTCTGATGGTCCAGCTTTCACAATTATCTGTTATAACCAGGAAAGCCATAGTCATGGCACTATACATCTTTGCTTTAGGTGTGCTGGCAATATTTTGTCTAGGCCCATCACAGAAAACATAGTTACAGCTTTTGCGTTTTCACAATTTGTACACCACAAATTTGTCTCTTCTGCATTGATTTTGGGAAGGAAAATTAAGCAAAGAATTGCATGCTATCCACCTGCTGCTTCCAACATGAAACATGAAATTTCAGCAGGAGGCAAAATACCAAAGCCAAACTGCAGGTGGTCCTTGCTTAATGGTGGTAATTGGGACCAGAATTTTTGTTGCTAAGTGATGCATTCATCAAGCATGATGCCACATGACTGCAGTGCTTAGCAACAGCATTCCCAGCAGTTGCCATTGCCATTGGTAAGCAAGGATGGCAGGTTAAGCAAGGATCACACGTCACTACAACTTTCTACTTCCTGCTGGCTTCCAATAAGCAAAGTCAATGGGGAATCCAGCAGGAAGTGGCAAGTCCTGATCACAAGAAGTCTTAGGTTTGGTGGCTTGCAAACAGGCCAGTGGGCAGGTGAATGCTGTGGAGTGCATGTGGGCATAGGCCATGGGTGCTGCCGTGTGGCATGAGTGCAGACAAGCAGGTGTGCTATGGCATGTTGCAAATGAACCTAGATGTATGAGTATTTGCACACTACAACCTGGCTCTCCTCAAGAGATAAAACAGCAGGATTGTGAGCAACTGACTGGAGTGACTTGCGACCTCTGGCCAGCTTCCCCACTGACTTTGCTTATGGGAAGTTGGCAGGGAAGATCACAAATGACAATCATGTGATTGCAGGGGTGCGGCAAGAGCCACAGTTTGAAGGACTGGTTGTCAGTCTCCTTCATTTGAAGAGTTGCTGAACTAGTGGCTGTAACCCAAGGGCTACCTGTATGGTATACAGCTAGTCCTCCACTTATGACCACAATTGAATCCAGAATTAATGTTACCAAGTGAGAAATTTGTTAAGTGAGTTTTGTTCCATTTTATGACTTTTCCTGCCACCTTGGTTAAGTGAATCACTGCAGTTGTTAAATTAGTATCACGGTTGTTAAATGAATGTGGTTTCCCCACTGACTTTGCTTGTCAAAAGGTTACAAAAGGGGATCAGATGACCCCTGGACACTGCAAATCACGTGACCATGGGGATGCTACCACAGTCATAAGTGTGAAAAATGTCACTTTTTCAGTGCCATTGTAACTTTGAACAGTCACTAAATGAACTGTTGTAAGTCGAGGACTACCTATATATGAATCTCTACAGAATCTAGCTAGAGCATCTAGCCTATTTGATCGTTTCCCATCCTTTTATGGCTCACTCTGCAAGATAGTGTAATGTAAATATATACCTGACTAAAACAAAGAGACCTATGACTTGGTAATGTAAAGTGCTGTTAGGCAAAATTAATTAGGCATAGATTGCTGTCGAGAAAGTTAAATTGATTCATTTTATTTATTTATTTATGTCCTTTATAAATAAAGGATATAAACAAATATTTCTTTTAATTTTTTAAAATTTTTAATTCTTCCAGCTCTTACCTGTCTATTCATACAGATAGTTAGTGTAGTCATGTGTAATAATACAGTTGGAGGGAAACTGTTTTTCACAAGCTGTCAAAAAGGCAAATTTCATGCTTGGGGTAATTAGAAAAGAGATTGGAAATAAAATGCCAACAGGATAATGCCCTGTGTTATGTCATCTGGAATACCTTGTACAATACTGGCTATTGCATTTGAAATAGAGCTGGAAAGGAGCAGAAGAGACCAATCAAATATTTACCTTACGAGAAAGAATATCTGGTACATCTCAGACTAGAAAAAGACAACTGAGAGAGAATATTATCAAAGTGTGTACAATCATGGAGAGATATAGGGGAAGGGTGAGAGAACCTGGGGGTGGAGTTAAAAGAGGTATCAACCTAGAATCTCTGTGAAGCTACAAGTGAGCTAAGTCCAATTCCCCCCCCCTTCGAATTCCATTGACCCTTATCTAACTCCTACCAGATGCTGATCTTAATTGAGAAGATTTCTGTACATAGGAATGAGTAGCAATAAATCAGTTTAACTTGACATTCACATGTGGACATGAACTTTCATACCTGCCAATGGCTTGGAAGAAGAAAAGGAGAAGTTCTTTTCTGTCTGTCTCTTTTGAAACGCTAGAGTCAAGAATCACATAGAAGGAGATTTGGATGAGACAGAATAAAGCACTTTTTTATGCATAATCAACCATGGAATTTGTAGCCGTAAGACACTTTTGCATGGCTTTACAGAGAATTGATTAGTCATGAAGTTTCATCGTTATCTCTGAGTTGGATACAATACGCCTCCAAATATACCCATTGAAGATGAATAATTACAGGAGTCCATC